AAAAAAAAAAAAAAAAAAAAAAAAAAAAAAACAATATAAAAGGAACAGCTGCAAATTACCAAGCAAAAAAGACAGCAACCATATTAGAAAAATGGCCGGGCAGGGTGGCTCCTGCGCCTGTAATGTAAGATTACATGCCTATAATCTCAGCACTTTGGGAGACCAAGGCGAGTAGATCACCTGAGGTTAGGAGTTCGAGACCACTCTGGCCAACATGGCGAAACCCCTTCTCGACTAAAAATACAAAAGTTATGCAGGGTACGGTGGCTCACGACTGTAATCCTAGCACTTTGGGAGGCCAAGGCAGGCGGATTGGCTGAGCTCAGGAGTTCGAGACCAGCCTGGGCAACGCAGTGAAACCCCATCTCTACTGAAATACAAAAGAAATTAGCCAGGTGTGGCAGCATATGCCTGTAGTCCCGAGGGGGCTGAGGCAGGAGAATTGCTTGAACCCGCGAGGTGGAGGTTGCAGTGAGCCGAGATGGCGTCATTGAACTCCAGCCTGGGTGACAGAGTGAGACTCTGTCTCAAAAAAACAAGACAAAAAAAAAAAGTGAGAAGACAGCACAATGAGCAGATGACAAAGAAACCCAAAACTCTGACAGGCACCTGAGAAGATGCTAGAAATTGTTGGTAACTCATCAGGGAAGTGGAAATTAAAATGACAACGAGGCTAGGTGTAGTGGTTCATGCCTGTAATCCCAGCACTTTGGGAAGCCAAGGTAGGAGGGTCACTTGAGCCCAGCAGTTCAATAGCAGCCTGGGCAATATAGCAAGACCCCATCTCTATAAAAAGCTTAAAAGTTAGCTGGGCGTGGTGGCGCAAGCCTGTTGTCCCAGCTACTCAGGAGGTTGAGGTGGGAGGATCCTTGAGCCCAGGAGTTTCAGGCAGCAGTGAACCATAATTGCGCCACCACACCCCAGCCTGGGCAACAAAGTGAGACCCCATCTCTAAAAGTAAAATAGAGAAAATGAATTAAAAAACAGTGAATTGGCCAGGCACGGTGGCTCACGCCTGTAATCCCAGCACTTTGGGAGGCTGAGGAGGGCAGATCACGAGGTCAGGAAATCGAGACCATCCCGGCTAACATGGTGAAACCCCATCTCTACTAAAAACTAGAACAAAAACTAGCTGGGCATGGTGGTGGGTGCCTGTAGTCCCAGTTACTCAGGAGGCTGAGGCAGGAGAATGGCGTGAACCCGGGAGGCAGAGTTTGTAGTGAGCTGAGATCGTGTCACTGCACTCCAAACTGCGTGACAGAGCAAGACTCCGTCTCAAAAAACAAAACAAAACAAAAAACAGCGAGTCATCCTATATAAATCTGGCAAAAATTAGTTAAGTTGGAAATGCCACATGGGGGTTGGGGATATGGGGACCCAGGGACTCTCATGGACTGATAGTGAGTAGCCATTCTGAGGGCTAACTGGCACTACTTACACAAATTGTGCACGGGAATATGTCACCCAGCAATTAGCTTCTGGGTGTGCACAACAAAACATTCCCCCTCAGCTTCCTGGGGGACCAATACACAGATGTTCCCTCCAGCATTATTTCGGGGAAGATGGAGGCAGCCTTGGTGTCCACTCCCAGTAGGGGTAGGTGGATAAACAGAAGGGATCAGTCACCGAAGAATCCTGCAAAGCCACCACTGTCACACACCAGGTGTCCACAGAGCAACAGGGGTAGGTCTTAACACACATAATGAGACTGACAAAAATAAGAAACGCTATTAATAACTTATGATATAATGCTCAATGACAGAATCATTTCATATTCACACAAAGTTTTAGGGAAAAACAATACTTAGTATACAACTATGTGTTAGATAATATATAATAGATACAACATAGAATTGTATTGTACAGTATAATTATATTGGCCTAAATATTTAATTATATAATTATACATTATATAACGTCGAATTATATAATTCCATAATATGACACAAACTTTTGTGCTATTTATTGCAGTTGTACTAACATCAGTATTTAATTATGGAACACCTAGAAACCTGCTATACGTTGAAGAACGGTTTCTATGTAATTTTGTTTAACTATGGGATATTGTTTTATATAACTTACTGTACACCACTACATGTTAATAAAAATATATATATATTTTTTAGATAGAGCCTTGCTCTGTCACCTGGGCTGGAGTGTAGTGGTACAATCTCGGCTTACTACAACCTCTGCCTCCTGGGCTCAAATGATTCTTGTGCCTCAGCCTCCCGAGTAGCTGGGATTACAGTCGTGCGCCACCATGCCCTGCTAATTTCTGTGTTTTTAGTAGAGCCAGGGTTTCACCATGTTGGCCAAGCTGGTCTCAAATTCCTGGCTTCAAATGATCTGTCTGCCTTGGCCTCCCAACGTGCTGCGATTATAGGCATGAGCCACTGTGTCTGGCCTAATCATAATTTTAATAAGGCTGGATGTGGTGGTTTACACCTGTAATCCCAGCACTTTGGGAGGCTGAGGCAGGTGGATCATGAGGTCAGGAGTTCGAGACCAGCCTGGCCAACATGGTGAAACCCTATCTCTACCAAAAATACAAAAATTAGCCGGGTGTGTTGGCAGGTGCCTGTAATCCCAGCTACTTGGGAGGCTGAGCAGGGGAATTGTTTGAACCCAGGAGGTGGAGTTTGCAATGAGCCGAGATCTGGCCACTGCACTCCAGTCTGGGCAACAAGAGCGAGAGTCTGTCTCAAATAATAATAATAATAATAAAATAATAATAATAATAGCAACACTTACATTACCTTAACCAGGCACTGGCACTGTTTTAAGTGCTGTAAATTACCTCATTTAACTCGCCCAACAACCACGTGAGGTCGGTACTATTAATATTCCCCTTACTGGATGGGGAAACCGAGGCACAGAGAAGCTAAGTGGCTTATCCATGTAACTCAAGGGAGTGGCAAGGCTGGGTGGGATTCAGATCCAGATTATCTGGCTCGGAGTCGGAGTCCTTGTTCTTTTTTTTTCTTTTTTAGATGGAGTCTCACCCAGGCTGGAGTGCAGTGGATCAATCTCAGCTCACTTCAGCTTCTGCCTCCCGAGTTCAAGCAATTCTCCTGCCTCAGTTTCCCAAGTGGCTGGGATTACAAGCGTGTGTCCCCACGCCTGGCTAATTTTTGTACTTTTAGTAGAGACGGGGTTTCACCATGTTGGCCAGGCTGGTCTCGAACTTCTGACCTCGAGTGATCCACCCACCTCGGCGTCCTAAAGTGCTGGGGATTACAGGGGTGAACCACCACGCCCGGCCGGAGTTCTTGTTCTTAATCACTATGTTTGGTGCTTTTTAAAGTCAGGAGACCTGGTGCACAGCCCTGCTCTGCTGCGTGATACCTTGCAAGGGCTTCCCCACGCAGAGCCTCAGTCTGTCCTCTGTGAAATGGGAGAATGATGGCACGTTACTTACCGTGGTAGGGGGAGAGAACGCAGTTACCTTCTACACACTCCCTCTCCCACCCCACCTCCGGCGGCCAGGCAAACCTCCAGCCAAGATTTGGGGTATGTGGGCGGGGCTCCGGCGAAGGGGCGTGGCCAGGAGTCCTGGTCCAATGGGGCCCGGGGGCGGGGCCTTCCTCCCATCTCTGTCCAGCACGCGTGTCCTCCTCTCAGTTCCATCCACCTCGCGGGTGCCTCTGGCGTCCCCAGAGGTCTCCGACCCCAGGCCGCCCCCAGCCCTCCCGCCCAGCCCGCAGCCCCCTCCCTCTGTTCCCTGATCTCAGACCCTGGCCCTCGGACCTCGACATCATGGCTGACGCAGAAGGCGAGGACGACGTCCAGTTCCTGCGGACGGTGCGTATTTCTGGGTTAGGGGTCTGTGGGGCTATCTCTCGGGGCTCTCTGAGGGTGTCTCTGTCTCTGAGCGTCCCTGTCCGGTTTACCGGTGGTCTCTGAGACTCGAGGTCTCTTCCTGTGTCACTTTGAGTGACTGTCACTCTGTCTTTTAGTCTCTTTCACCTTTCTCACTACAGAGAATTAGTAGGATTGGGGACTCCAGAATGGGAGAGGGATCTTCGGTTGCCCTCTCTTCTGACATTAGCGAATTGTCCCCCACAAGAAGGACCCCTGAGGAAGCACACCCTCGCACCATCCTGGAAGCAGGCACTTGGAGAAGGTGGTTCTAATTCCTGGGCTTAATTTAGCCGTGCCCCCAACCCCCACCTCAGCCCTAATTTTCTTTTTGCTCCAGACTCTGACCTATTTAAATTCTTGGGAAGGGAGCTGAGGGGGGAGGTGGTGGGCTGGAGGACACAGCTGCTTCCAATTCCTAGCCCTTAAGGGTCTCGTGGGGGAGGGATCTCTTGGGTTCTGGGTCTTTCCTTCTTTGTTTTGGGCAGGAGGGCTGCTCCCAGTGGCTGCTAATGGTCTTGGAGGGTCTCTCCCCATCTGTCTCTTTGGGTGTCTCCATGTCTCTGTTTCTTAGCTTAAGACCCTCTGATTTTCTGTGTCTCTCTAGCTGGGTCACTCCCTGCATCTCTGAGCCCTAGCTGGGGGCAGGGATGGGAACTGGAACAACAGGTGGCCCTCCCAGAATAGCCCGCTTTTCTGGGGCCTGGGGAGGGGACGAGAGGGAGGAGGGGCTGCCATCTCCCGGCCCTTCCCACCTTCCCCTCCCAGTGGCTCTGCAGGGTGTGGGGCCGTAAATATGGGAGGGGACGTCCTCTGCTCTGGACTAGGTCTGCTGACCCAACGCTAGCCCCGCCCCTCCCCCGGGGCTTTGGAGCCACGCAGGAAATGCTGACACAGCATTCTGTCCCCAGAATAGGACCCTGGAGAGCAGGGTCTGGTTTCCCGGGAGAGAGGAACAAACAGCTGGGGCTGGTAGTGAAGGATGGGGACAGCTGGGAAGGGGCCTAGCTTCAGCTGAGACTCTCTCCCCAGCCCCAGTCCCTCAGCAGACACCGTGGGTTGGGCCCTCCCCAGCCCTAATAAGACCATGGCCATGGCCAATGGCCCTTGAACTGTTGCTCTAAACCAGGCCCCGTGCCCTGGGCCTCTGCCTCCTGAGACATCTAATTATATCCTCGCTGCCCTGTCTTCTGAGGTAGGGTCCTATCTTTATCTCCCTGAGAGATTTGAGGGAAACCAAGGCCCGAATGGTAGAATCACTCACCCAAGGTCAAGGCCAGGAAGTGGCATCTCTGGATGCCCCTGGTGCCCAGCCCCATTGCCTTCACCAGAGAAAAACTGGGCCCAGACTTACCAAAGTAGTCAGTGTTAGGGTTCTGGAGGCTTGGCCCTGGAATCTCTCCACCCCAGACTGGGTCAGTTTTTCTGAGTGTTACTGAGCTTGTGGTGGATTTCTCAAAACTTTTTGGAGGCTGGGCTCGGTGGCTCATGCCTGTAATCCCAGCACTTTGGGAGGCCAAGGTGGGCGGATCACTTGAGGTCAGGAGTTTGAGACCAGCCTGGCGAACATGGTGAAACCTCGTCTCTACTAAAAATACAAAAAAATATTGGCCAGGTGTGGTGGTGCATGCCTGTAATCATAGCTACTCAGGAGGCTGAAGTGGGAGGATTGCTTGAACCTGGGAGGCAGAGCTTGCATTGAGTCGAGATTG